AGTGGCTCATGCCTGTAATCCCAGCACTTTGGGAGGCCAAGGCGGGCAGATCACCTGAGGTCAGGAGTTCGAGACCAGCCTAACCAATGTGGTGAAACCCCGTCTCTACTAAAAAAAAAAATAATAATACAAAAAAATTAGCGGGGCGTGGTGGCAGGCGCCTGTAGTCCCAGCTACTCGGGAGGCTGAGGCAGGAGAATGGCGTGAACCCAGGAGGAGGAGCTTGCAGTGAGCTGAGATCGCGCCACTGCACTCCAGCCTGGGGGACAGAGCGAGACTCTGTCTCAAAAACAAACAAAGAAACAAACAAAAAAAAAAAAACAGGCATTGGCCGGGCATGGTGGCTCATGCCTGTAATCCCAGCACTTGGGAAGGCCAAAGTGGGTGGATCACCTGAGGTCGGGAGTTTGAGACCAGCCTGGCCAACATAGAGAAACCCCATCTCTACTAAAAGATACAAAAAATTAGCCGGGTGTGGTGGTGGGCACCTGTAGTCCCAGATACTCAGGAGGCTGAGGCAGGAGAATCGCTTGAACCTGGGAGGCAGAGGTTGCAGTGAGCCGAGATCATGCCACTGCGCTCCAGTCTGAGCAACAGGGCAAGAGTCAGTCTTAAAAAAAAAAAGCAAAGGAAATTCTGAAGGGCACGTTGAGAGCAGGAGGGCTGCAAGTAGTCAGGGCTTTTGAGCAGTTAAATCTCTGCCTGGTGGGGTTTCAATGCTGTGGCCATAACGGAGAACTTACAGGCTGCTGGACCCCATCTCTGGTTAGCTGGCACCCCTTCTGGAACGCTGGTATGGGGGACTGGGTGGATCCGTGTCTCCCCATCGACTTGTCTACCAGGTGAATAGCACCTTATTTGGAAATAGGGTTCTTACATGTGCAATTAGTTCATGGTTTCAAGATATCATGCTGGATTAAGGTAGACCCTAAGTCCAATGACAAGTGTCCTTCTAAGAGACAGAAGAGGAGACACAGACACAGAGGAGAAGGCCACGTGGAGACGGACGCAGAGACTGGAGTGATGAGGCCACAAGTCCAGGGATGCCTGGAGCCCCCAGGAGCTGGGAGAGGCAGGAAGGATCCTCCCCGAGAGCCTCAAGAAGAAACCAAACACAATTGCAATGGTTTAGATGGTGAGCTCCAAATGATATGTCCATGTCCTAAGCCCCAGAACCTGGGAATGAGACCTCACTTGGAAAAAGGATCTTTGCAGATGTGGTTAACGATGAGATCATCCTGGAGTAGGGTGTCCCTTAAGCACAATAACAGGTGTCCTTGTAAGAGAGAGAGGAGGAGACACAGACACAGAGGAGGAGGCCACGTGGAGACGGAGGCAGAGACTGGAGTGATGCGGCCACAAGCCCAGGGACACCTGGAGACCCCAGGAGCTGGGAGAGGCAGGAAGGATCCTCCCCTAGAGGCTTCAGAGGGAGCGTGGCCCTGCCTATGCCTTGATTTCAGATTTCTGGCCTGCAAGGCTGTAATGCAATTGACTTTTGCTGTTTTAAGTTCCAGGGTTTTCAGTGACGGTTACCAGTAACCCCCACTGTAGGTCACTGAACCCTTCAGCTTTGCCTGTACCTGTTCAGGAAGTGGCAGCGTTCACTTCATCTTCCATAGATAATTGCTATAATTTTCTTTGCTATTTTTCCTTTTCATTTTCTTTTTTTTTTTTTTTTTTTTTTGAGATGAAATCTTGCTCTGCCGCCCAGGCTGGAATGCAGTGGTGCGATCCTGGCTCACTGCAAGCTCCGCCTCCTGGGTTCAGGCCATTCTCCTGCCTCAGCCTCCCGAGTAGCTGGGACTACAGGTGCCGCCACCTCGCCCGGCTAATTTTTTGTATTTTTCAGTAGAGACGGGGTTTCACCGTGTTAGCCAGGATGGTCTCGATCTCCTGAGTTCGTGATTTATCTGCTTCCCAAAGTGCTGGGATTATAGGCATGAGCCACCGCACCCGGCCTTCCTTTGCTATTTTTCTTTATGATTTAATATCTCACCCGCGGCTGGGCCCAGTGGCTCACACCTGTAATCCCAGCACTTTGGGAGGCTGAGGTGGGTGGATCACCTGAGGTCAGGAGTTCGAGACCAGCCTGGTCAACACGGCGAAACCCCATCTCTACTAAAAATGCAAAAATTAGCCAGGTGTGATGGCAGGTGCCTGTAATCCTAGTTCCTCTGGAGGCTGAGGGAGGAGAATCGCTTGAACCTGGGAGGCGGAGGTTGCAGTGAGCCGAGATCATACCATTGTGCTCCAGCCTGGGTGACAGAGTGAGACTGCATCTCAAAAAAAGAAAGAAAAGAAAAAAGAAAAGAAAAGAAAAGAAAAGAAAGAAAAAGAAAAGAGAAAAGAAAGAAAAGAAAGGAAGGAAGGACAAAAACAGCTTCACTTGCATGGAGTTTATGTTATATGCAGTACAGTTTGTAAAGTTGTGATTCCCTCTGTTGCTTCAAAACGAAGAAAAGTTACTTCTCCAAAAATATGAAATATGAATCTGTATACTGCTGTTATGTTTAAATTTTTTTTTTCAAAACTCACAATATTGCAAATCAGACATCACGTGGTTTAGGTGTTTTATTTTTTCCTCCCGTTTATTTGATTATTCTGTAACTTCTCTGTTTTCCGTTTTCTCCATAATGTATTGGACACCCTCAGACGTCGTTCCACAGTGAACAAAAGTAACTGTGGGATTCCGTTCTCTGTATCTACACATCGCTGGCATGTGATCTGGGTGTATGATTATTTTTGACATTTTATTTTAAAATCTTCTGAGTCACAAAAGGCTGGGGAAACAGTACCCGGAGTCTCCAGGCCACGTTGGGTTTATGTGGAGCAGGTGCGGCTGGGCTCTGGGTGGGGGCGGGTTAAGAAAAATCCAGGCACAGCTCACGCGCGCCCCCTGCAGCCTGCGGCGCGCAAGGGACCCGCTGCCTGGAGGTGGGGTCCGTTTAGGGAGGGAAGGTGCAGCCGAGACCACCAGGGCGTCCCTGACCTCGCAGCGCCCGCTCTGGTCCCATCCCTGAGCCCACAGGGGGTCCCCACGCCGCGCCCATCACCAGGCGCGCGGATCCCCAATGTCCACGCCCCTCCCACAAGGACCCCCACCTTCTTCCACACCCCTCCCACCCAGCCCGCAGGGACCCCCATCTCCATACCCTTCCCAGCATTCTCGCGGGGACCCTCATCTCCAAACCTCTCCCACCATCCCCACGGGGACCCCATCTCCACGCCCTCCCACCATCCCCGCGGGGACCCCATCTCCATGCCCCTCCCACCGGTCATGGAGGGGCCCCCTTCTCGCCATTCCCACCAGTCCCGCGGGACCCCCATATCCACGTCCCTCCCACCACGCCCGCGGGACCCCATCTCCACGCCCCTCCCACCCGTCCTGGAGGACCCCCTCATCTCCACGCCCCTCCCACCAGGCCCGGGGAACCCTCATCTCCACGCCCCTCCCACCAGGCCCGCAGGGACCCCATCTCCACGTCCCTCCTACCATGCCCGCGGACGGCCCCATATCCACGCCCCTCCCACCCGGCCCGCGGGGACCCCATCTCCATACCCCTCCCAGCATTCTCGCGGGGACCCTCATCTCCAAACCCCTCCCACCATCCCCACGGGACCCCATCTCCACGCCCCTCCCACCGGTCCTGGAGGGGTCCCCTTCTCCACGCCATTCCCACCAGTCCCGCGGGGACCCCCATATCCACGCCCCTCCCACCAGGCCCGCGGGGACCCTCATATCCACGCCCCTCCCACCAGGCCCGCGGGACCCTCATCCACGCCCCCCCCCAGACCCCGGGACCCTCATATCCACGCCCCTCCCACCAGACCCGCGGGGACCCCATCTCCACACCCCTCCCACCAGACCCGGGGGGACCCTCATATCCACGCCCCTCTCACCAGGCCCGCGGGGACCCAATCTCCACACCCCTCCCACCAGGCCTGGGGGAACCCTCATATCCACGCCCCTCCCACCAGACCCGCGGGGACCCCATCTCCACACCCCTCCCACCAGGCCCGGGGGAACCCTCATATCCACGCCCCTCTCACCAGGCCCGCGAGGACCCTCATATCCACGCCCCTCCCACCAGACCCGCGGGGACCCCCATCTCCACGCCCGTCACCCGGGGGGGACCCTCATATCCACGCCCCTCCCACCAGGCTCGTGGGGAACCCCCCATCTCTACGCCCCTCCCACCAGGCCCGTGGATACCCCCCGCCATCTCCACGCCCCCCCCACCGGGCCCGCGGGGAACCCCCCATCTCTACGTTCCCCAAGACGGCGCCCACAAGACCCCCAACTCTGAGCCTGGCCCCCCCACTTTCGGGTAAGAACACCCCACCCCCCACCGCTGCTCACAATCGCAGCCGCGGGAACCCCAGCATTTCCACTCCCCACGCCGCGCCTGCAAGGAACCCCAGGAATCCACGCCGGCCTTTCCTCCCTGGGGGACCCCCAGCTGCTGGCGCGTCCTGCGGGATTGTCAGTCTTGGCGCTGCGGGCGGGGCGGGGAGGGGCGGGGCGAGCGCCAGGGGCGGGGACAGGGCCCGGGAGGCGGAGCTGGGGGCGGTGCTTCACTGAGAGGCCGGGGCGGTGCCCGAGGGGAGTCGGGCGGGGGTGTGGCCTGGGCGTGGCCTCACGGGGAGACCAATGGAGGCGTGGAGTGGGCGTGGCCTGGAGGGGTGGGCAACGACGGCGAGGCCGGGGCGGGGCATCGCGGGGAGGCCAATGAAGGCATGGACTGGGCGTGGCCTCACGGGGAGGCCAATGGAGGCGTGGAGTGGGCGTGGCCTGAAGGGGAGGGCAACGACGGCGAGGCCGGGGCGGGGCATCGCGGGGAGGCCAATGAAGGCATGGACTGGGCGTGGCCTCACGGGGAAGCCAATGGAGGCTTGGAGTGGGCGAGGCCTGGCGAGGAAGGCAATGAAGACCTGGACGGGGCGTGGCCTCGCGGAGGCGGGCGGGGCGTGGCCTCGCGGAGGCGGGACTCTGGCCGCCGTTTTTTGCAGCTGCGCTCACCACGGGCTCTGGGCTCAGCTCCGCGGACTCCCGGCTCCCGGCGTGGGCGCCATGGTGCTGTGCCCGGTGATCGGGAAGCTGCTGCACAAGCGCGTGGTGCTGGCCAGCGCCTCCCCGCGCCGTCAGGAGATACTCAGCAACGCGGTGCGGCCTGGGCCTGGGCGGGGCAGGGGGCAGGGGGCGGAGGGGCTGAACCCAGGAGGGCCCAGAGACCCAGGAACCCGAGGGTAGGGATGGGAGAGTGACCCGAGACCCTGAGGGATGGGGGAGGGCAGAGTGACCCGGGACCCCCCAGGGGATGCGGTTGGGGAGAGTGACCCGGAAGCTCCAGGGATGGGGGAGGGGAGAGTAACCCGGGACCCCCGAGGGATGGGGGTGGGGAGTGACCTGCGACCCCTTAGGGATGGGGAAGGAGAGAGTAACTCGGGACCCCTAGGAATGGAGAGGGTAGAGTGACCGAGGACCCCTAGGGGTGGGGAGAGCAGTCTGACCCTGGACCCCCATGGATGGGGACGGGGAGAGTAACCCGGGACCCCTAGGAATGGGGAGGGCTGAGTCACCCAGGAGCCCCTAGGGGTGGGGAGAGCAGTCTGACCCTGGACCCCCATGGATGGGGACGCGGAGAGTAACCCGGGACCCCTAGGGTTGGGGAGGGCTGAGTCACCCAGGAGCCCCTAGGGACGGGGGAGGGAGAGTAACCCAGGCCCCTAGGAATGGGGAGGGCAGAGTGACCTGGGACCCCCAGGGATGTGGGAGGGGAGAGTAAGCCGGGACCCCTAGGGATGGGGAGGGCTGAGTCACCCAGGAGCCCCCAGGGATGGGGGAGGGGAGAGTAACCCAGGCCCCTAGGAATGGGGAGGGTAGAGTGACCCGGGACCCCCAGGGATGTGGGAGGGGAGAGTAACCCGGGACCCCTAGGGATGGGGGAGTGGGGGAGAGTAACCCAGGACCCCTAGGAATTTGGAGGGCAGAGTGACGCGGGACCCCCAGGGTTGGGGGTGAGGGGAGTAACCCAGGACCCCTAGGGATGGGGTTGGGGAGAGTGATCCCGGACCCCTAGGAATGGGGAGGGCAGACTGACCCAGAACCCCCAGGGATGGGGACGGGGAGAGTGACCTAGGAGCCCTAGGCATGGGGTTGGGGACAGTAACCTGGGACCCCTAGGAATGGGGAGGGCAGTGTGACCCAGGACCCCTAGGGATGGGGAAGGGGAGGGTGACCCAGGACCCCTAGGGATGGGGATGGGGAGACTAACCCAGGACCCCCCTAGGAATGGGAAGGGCAGAGTGACCCAGGACCCCTAGGGATGGTGGTGGGGAGACTAACCCGGGACCCCTAGGCATGGGGTTGGGGAGAGTGACCTAGGAGCCCTAGGCATGGGGTTGGGGACAGTAACCTGGGACCCCTAGGAATGGGGAGGGCAGTGTGACCCAGGACCCCTAGGGATGGGGAAGGGGAGCGTGACCCAGGACCCCTAGGGATGGGGATGGGGAGACTAACCCAGGACCCCCCTAGTGATGAGGGAGAGCAGAGTGACCCAGGACCCCCTAGGAATGGGGAGGGCACAGTGACCCAGGACCCCCTAGGGATGGGGGAAGGGAGAGTGACCCGGGACTCCCTAGGGATGGGGGAGGGGAGTGACCTGGGACCCCTGGGATTGGGGAGGTGAGTGATCCAGGACTTCTAGGGATGGAGTGAGCCCTGTGACTGAAGGTTGGGCTTCATCGTTGGGGTGTGGGAAGTGTTTCCTGGTGCCCCCGTGGGGATCTTATTGCGGGTGGTAGTGGGCCTAGGCAGTGGGTGTCTGCCTCTCTCTGGAGCCCTAATGACATGGAGGAGAGGGTCTAGTGATGAAGGGATAGTTACTGGTGATGGGGGTAGTTACTGGTGATGGGGGATAGTTATAGGTGATGTGGGATAGTTACTGGTGATGGGAGATAGTTACTGTTGATGGGGGGATGGTTACTGGTGATGGGGGGATGGTTACTGGTGATGGGATATAGTTACTGGTGATGGGGGTTAGTTACTGGTGATGGGGGGTAGTTATTGGTGATGGGGGGTAGTTACTGGTGATGGGGATAGTTACTGGTGATGGGGGTAGTTACTGGTGATGGGGGGCAGTTACTGGTGATGAGGGGTAGTTACTGGTGATGGGGGGTATTACTGGTGATGGGGGGGTACTACCCTCACTGGTGATGGTGGGCAGTTACCGGTGATATGGGGTAGTTACTGGTGATGGGGGTAGTTACTGGTGATATGGGATAGTTACTGGTGGTGGGGAGTAGTTACTGGTGATAGGGGTAGTTACTGGTGATGGGGGAGTAGTTACTGGTGATGGGGGTAGTTACTGGTGATATGGCATAGTTACTGGTGATGGGGGTAGTTACTGGTGATGGGGGGTAGTTACTGGTGATGGGGGTAGTTACTGGTGATGGGGAGATGGTTACTGGTGATATGGGATAGTTACTGGTGATGGGGGGTAGTTACTGGTGATGGGGGTAGTTACTGGTGATGGGGAGATGGTTACTGGTGATATGGGATAGTTACTGGTGATGGGGGATAGTTACTGGTGATGGGGGGTAGTTACTGTTGATGGGATGGTTACTTGGTGATGTGGGGGTAGTTACTGGTGATATGGGATAGTTACTGGTGATGGGCGGTAGTTACTGGTGATGGGGAGGTACTATCCTCACTGGTGATGAGGGGCAGTTACTGGTGATGAGGGGTAGTTACTGGTGATAGGGGTAGTTACTGGTGATGGGGGGTAGTTACTGGTGATGGGGATAGTTACTGGTGATGGGGAGATGGTTACTGGTGATATGGGATAGTTACTGGTGATGGGGGATAGTTACTGGTGATGGGGGTAGTTACTGTTGATGGGGGGATGGTTACTGGTGATGTGGGGTAGTTACTGGTGATATGGGATAGTTACTGGTGATGGGCGGTAGTTACTGGTGATGGGAGGTACTATCCTCACTGGTGATGGGGGGCAGTTACTGGTGATGAGGGGTAGTTACTGGTGATGGGGGTAGTTACTGGTGATGGGGGGTAGTTACTGGTGATGGGGATAGTTACTGGTGATGGGGATAGTTACTGGTGATGGGGGGTAGTAACTGGTGATGGGGGGGTAGTTACTGGTGATGGGGATAGTTACTGGTGATGGGGGTAGTTACTGGTGATGGGGGCTAGTTACTGGTGATGGGGGGTAATTACTGGTGATGGGGATAGTTACTGGTGATGGGAGTAGTTACTGGTGATGGGGGTAGTTACTGGTGATGGGGGGTAGTTACTGGTGATGAGGGATAGTTACTGGTGATGCAGGGTAGTTACTGGTGATGTGGGGTAGTTACTGGTGATAGGGGTTAGCTACTGGTGATGGGGGTTAGCTACTGGTGATGGGGATTAGCTACTGGTGATGGGGATTAGCTACTGGTGATGGGGATAGTTACTGGTGGTGATGGGGGTAGTTACTGTTGATGGGGTAGTTACTGGTGATGGGGGTTAGTTACTGGTGATGGGGTAGTTACTGGTGATGGGGTAGTTACTGGTGATGGGGGTAGTTACTGGTGGTGGGGAGTAGTTACTGGTGATGGCAGAAAAGTTATTAGTGATGGTGGGGTAGTTACTGGTTGCCTATGGATAGAGCAGTGGGCAGGAGTCTGCTCTTGGGAACTAAGGACAGGAGGTCTGGTACCCTGGGAGAGGGGACCCCACGTGCCTGGGCCTAGTGACGGGGATGAGAATGGTCTGGGTGCCTTACAGAAGGCATGGGTCTCCATGATGGGGGGTGACGGGGCATAAGGCAGGAGTCTACGTGATCTGGGGTTGAGGTCTGCGGGGCAGGTCCAGGGCTTGGTGACTGGTGCCCTGAAGACCAGGATGGGCGTTGGGGCCAGGATCTGGGTACGCCTTCAAGAGGTGAGGAGGGCTGAGAAGGGTGTAAGAGTTGAAGGAAGATGAAACAAGAAAAGCAGCTTCACAGTCAAAGACAGATTTATTTTGGAGAATAAGCTTGAGGGGGGCTTCCGGCGGCGTTCGGTCGGGAGCGTTCTCTTACAGACTGAGGGTACTTAAGGGTTTAGGAAGGGAAGCCTATGGCGGGCTCGGAATGTTTCTGTGTGAGGCAAAGTTGACTGATGGGTTGGAATGTCTCTGGTCTGAGGGGAGCTTATCTTGGCCTTGGGATGTTTCTGGTCACAGTGGTTTATTTCAGGGTTTGACTGTTTCTGGTCATGCTGACATTAGCCATGAGGCTCATGATTTGGGGCTGGTTTTAGGCGGTTTTTAATCAAGGGAACTTAAAATGGTGGCACTTAGGCCGGGCGCGGTGGCTCAAGCCTGTAATCCCAGCACTTTGGGAGGCCGAGACGGGCGGATCACGAGGTCAGGAGATCGAGACCATCCTGGCTAACACGGTGAAACCCCGTCTCTACTAAAAAATACAAAAAACTAGCCGGGCGAGGTGGCGGGCACTTGTAGTCCCAGCTACTCGGGAGGCTGAGGCAGGAGAATGGCGTAAACCCGGGAGGTGGGGCTTGCGGTGAGCTGAGATCCGGCCACTGCACTCCAGCCTGGGCGACACAGCGAGACTCCGTCTCAAAAAAAAAAAAAAAAAAAAAAAAAAAATGGTGGCACTTGTCCAAGATGGTGGTAAGTGTCCAAGATGGCCGTGCATGTCCAAGATGGCCGTGTGTGTCCAAGTTGGCCGTGCGTGTCCAAGTAGGCAGTATGTGTCCAAGATGGTGATATGTGTCCAAGTTGGCCGTGCATGTCCAAGATGGCGGTGTGTGTCCAAGATGGCCGTGCGTGTCCAAGATGGCCGTGCGTGTCCAAGTTGGCAGTATGTGTCCAAGATGGTGATATGTGTCCAAGTTGGCCGTGCATGTCCAAGATGGCGGTGTGTGTCCAAGATGGCGGTATGCATCCAAGATGGCAGTATGTGTCCAAGTTGACCGTGTGTGTCCAAGATGGCGGTGTCTGTCCACGATGGCGGTGTCTGTCCACGATGGCGGTGTCTGTCCACTATGGCGGTGTGTGTCCACGATGGCGGTGTGTGTCCACTATGGCGGTGTCTGTCCACGATGGCGGTGTCTGTCCACGATGGCGGTGTGTGTCCACGATGGCGGTGTGTGTCCACGATGGCGGTGTGTGTCCACGATGGCGGTGTGTGTCCACGATGGCGGTGTGTTTCCACGATGGCGGTGTGTGTCCACGATGGGGGTGTGTGTCCACGATGACGGTGTGTGTCCAAGATGATGGGATGTGTCCACGATGGCGGTGTCTGTCCACGATGGCGGTGTCTGTCCAAGATGGTGGTGTGTGTCCACGATGGCGGTGTCTGTCCACGATGGCGGTGTGTGTCCACGATGGCGGTGTGTGTCCACGATGGCGGTGTCTGTCCACGATGGCGGTGTGTGTCTACGATGGCGGTGTGTGTCCACGATGGGGGTGTGTGTCCACGATGGGGGTGTGTGTCCACGATGGGGGTGTGTGTCCACGATGACGGTGTATGTCCAAGATGATGGGGTGTGTCTACGATGGCGGTGTCTGTCCCAGATGGGGGTGTCTGTCCACGATGGCGGTGTCTGTCCAAGATGATGGGGTGTGTCCAAGATGGCAGTGTCTGTCCAAGATGACGGTGTGTGTCCAACATGGGGGTGTGTGTCCAAGATGACGATGCTTGTCTGTCAGAGGGGGAGATGCGGAGTTCCCTGAGCCCTGGCAGGTTGTGACAGCCAGGGGCACCCCCACTGGGGGCATTTACCACCGTCATTCCTGACCCCACAGTCTCTGCGGGGATCACTACCTCTCAGACCAGGCCTCCCCAGGGACGCTGTTGTCTCTTCCTGGGTACCAGGGATTGACTCAGAGCCATCATTGCTTCCTTTCCCGCAGCCATCACTGCTGGCATTTTTCCTGAACTTCCTGTGGGCAGGATGGTTTCACCCCAACCATCAGGGCTCCGGGAACCCTCTGCCACCATTGACTCATGCGTTCAGGGCCTGAGTCAATCCTTCCCCGCTGGCCTCTTCGTTCCTGGCTTCTTCCTTTGCCAATGTCTTCCGTCGAGAGCCAGGAAGGCCCCCGGTCAGTCCCTGAAGGCCCCTAACCACACTTAGGGAAAGCTCTGGTGAGTTTCCGACTCCCCGGCCACACTCAGGGAAGGTTCGGTGGATGGAGGAGAAGATCGGGGCGTGTAGCCAACATCTCCTGCCAATCTTGCACGTTCTGTTCCGTTTTCTTAGGATCTGTCGTTGACCCTCCTGACCCCTTTTTCTTCTGTTGCAGGGTCTGAGGTTTGAGGTGGTCCCCTCCAGGTTTAAAGAGAAGCTGGACAAAGCCTCCTTCGCCACTCCGTACGAGTACGCCATGGAGACCGCCAAGCAGAAGGCCTTGGAGGTGGCCACACGGATGCACCAGGCAAGGGGCCCCCTGCCCTTCTGCCCCCATGAAAATTCCTTTGCTCTGACGAGGGGATTTGCAGGTGCTAAATATCCATGATACAAATAAGTGTCATTCACAAGATACAGTTGGTGCCACAGCTGAGCTATTACTATGTTACAATGTAATGCGCTGTTGCAAGTAACCTAATAGTTACTTAGATAATAGTATCATTTATGATACAGAATTAATGTAGATTACTATATGTGTTATATTCTCTTGCAATTGATATCATAGTATCATTTATGATCTAGAATTAATGTACCTTATCTGTTACTATGTTATTCTCTTGCAATTGATGTAGCGTCATTTATGATACAGAATTAATGTAGATCATTACTATATGTGTTATATTCTCTTGCAATTGATATCATAGTATCATTTATGATCTAGAATTAATGTAGCTTATCTGTTACTATGTTATTCTCTTGCAATTGATGTAGCATCATTTATGATACAGAATTAATGTAGATTATTACTATATGTGTTATATTCTCTTGCAATTGATATCATAGTATCATTTATGATATAGAATTAATGTAGCTTATCTGTTACTATGTTATTCTCTTGCAATTGATGTAGCATCATTTATGATATAGAATTAATGTAGATTATTACTATATGTGTTATATTCTCTTGCAATTGATATCATAGTATCATTTATGATCTAGAATTAATGTAGATTATTACTATGTGTTATATTCTCTTGCAATTGATATCATAGTATCATTTATGATCTAGAATTAATGTACCTTATCTGTTACTATGTTATTCTCTTGCAATTGATGTAGCATCATTTATGATACAGAATTAATGTAGATCATTACTATATGTGTTATATTCTCTTGCAATTGATATCATAGTATCATTTATGATCTAGAATTAATGTAGCTTATCTGTTACTATGTTATTCTCTTGCAATTGATGTAGCATCATTTATGATACAGAATTAATGTAGATTATTACTATATGTGTTATATTCTCTTGCAATTGATATCATAGTATCATTTATGATATAGAATTAATGTAGCTTATCTGTTACTATGTTATTCTCTTGCAATTGATGTAGCATCATTTATGATATAGAATTAATGTAGATTATTACTATATGTGTTATATTCTCTTGCAATTGATATCATAGTATCATTTATGATCTAGAATTAATGTAGCTTATCTGTTACTGTGTTATTCTCTTGCAATTGATATAGCATCATTTATGATATAGAATTAATGTAGATTATTACTTTGTGTTATATTCTCTTGCAATTGATATCATAGTATCATTTATGATATAGAATTAATGTAGCTCATCTATTACTATTGTTTTAATATTCTCTTGCAATTGATATCAGCATCATTTATGATCTAGAATTAATGTAGATTATTACTATGTGTTATATTCTCTTGCAATTGATATGAATAGTATCATGTATGATATTCAATTAATGTAGCTTATCTATTACTATGTATTCTAATCTCTTATGGTCGGGCGCGGTGGCTCACGCCTATAATCCCAACACTTTGGGAGGCCAAGGCGGGCGGATCACCTGAGGTCAGGAGTTCAACACCAGTCTGGCCAACATGGTGAAATCCCATCTCTACTGAAAATACAAAAATTATCTGGGCGTGGTGGTGCACGCCTGTAATCCCAGCTACTCAGCAGGCTGAGGCAGGAGAATTGCATGAACCCGGGAGATGGAAGTTGCAGTGAGCCGAGATCATGCCACTGCACTCCCGCCTGGGCGATAGAGCAAGACTCCGTGTCCAAACAGTAAAAAATAATTTATCTTGCAATTAATATAATAGTATCATTTATGATATACAATTAATGTAGTTTATTACTATGTGTTATAATATTATCTTGCAATTAATATAATAGTATCATTTATGGTATACAATTAATGTCCAGTATTACTATGTGTTGTAATATTCTACAATTAATATAATAGTATTATATATTGTAATAGTATGATATAGAATTATGTAGCTTATTACCGTGCCACTATGTAATATCTGATTGCAATTAATGTAACATCATTTCTAATATAGAATTATGTAGTTTATCTGTTCCTATATGCTACAATGCAATATACAATTATAATTAATATACTACTATCATTTAAGATTTAAGATTCATGTAGCTTATCTGTTACTATGTTATGAATGTAATATTGCAATTAATATAGTAATTTAGTTATCAGTTACAATATAGAATTAACATCTATCACTATGTGTTGCGATACACAGAATTAGTATGTGTTACTGTGTGAGACTATGTAATACGCTATGACAATTAATATAATTGGATCATCATGTAGAATTACGTCACTTATCTGTTACTATATGCTACTATGTAATACACTATTATTTTAGTAGAGGTGGAGCTTCACCATGTTGGCCAGGCTGGTCTCCAACTCCTGACCTCAGGTGATCCACCTGCGTCGGCCTCCCAAAGTGTTGAGATTACAGGTGTGAGCCACCGCGCCCGGCCGTAATACACTATTATAATTAATACACTCCTGTCATTTAGGATAGAGAAGTCATGTAGCTTATCCATTACTATATGTTATATAATGTATGACTCCAATTAATATATGAGTCACAATGTATAAAATTAACGCAGCTATTACTATATGTTGTAACTTGCTGTTACAGAGAATGTAATACTATCATTTAGGATATAGAGTAAATGTAGCTCCCCTGTTGATGTGTGTTACCATACAATACGCCATGGCACTTAATAATAAGAGATACATTAGAGGGCCGGGTGCGGTGGCTCACACCTGTAATCCCAGCACTTTGTGAGGCCGAGGCGGGCAGATCACAAGGTCAGGAGATCAAGACCATCCTGGCTAACACGGTGAAACCCCGTCTCTACTAAAAACACACATACAAAAATTGGCTGGGCGTGGTGGTGGGTGCCTGTAGGTAGTGGCAGGTGCCTGTAGTCCCAGCTACTCGGGAGGCTGAGGCAGGAGAATGGCGGGAACCTGGGAGGCGGAGCTTGTAGTGAGCTGAGATGGCGCCACTGCACTCCAGCCTGGGTGACAGAGCGAGACTCTGTCTCCAAAGGAAGGAAGGAGGGAAGGAGGGAAGGAGGGAAGGAGGGAAGGAAGGAAGGAAGAAAGGAAGGAAGGAGGGAGGGAGGGAGGGATGGAGGGAAGGAAGGAAGGAAGGAAGGAGGGAGGGAGGGAGGGAGGGAGGGAAGGAAGGAAGGAAGAAAGACATTAAAGAAAGGAAGGAAGGGAAGGAAGGAAGACATTAAAGGAAGGAAGGAAGGAAGGGAAGAAAGACATTGAAGGAAGGAAGGAGGGGAGGAAGATATTAAAGGAAGGAAGGAAGGGAAGGAAGACATTAAAGGAAGGAAGGAAGGAAGGAGGGGAGGAAGACATTAAAGGAAGGAAGGAAGGAAGGAGGGGAGGAAGACATTGAAGGAAGGAAGGAGGGGAGGAAGACATTAAAGGAAGGAAGGAAGGGAAGGAAGACATTAAAGGAAGGAAAGAAAGAAGGGAAGGAAGACATTAAAGGAAGGAAGGAAGGATGGAAGGAAGAAAGGAAGGAAGGAAGAAAGACATTAAAGGAAGGAAGGAGAAAGACATTAAAGGAAGGAAGGATGGAAGGAAGGAAGGGAAGGAAGGAAGGGAAGGAAGGAAGACATTAAAGGAAGGAAGGAAGGAAGGAGGGAAGGAAGGAAGGAGAGAGAAAAGGAAAGGAAGAAAGCCATTAGAGGGAATGCTGTTGTGAGTAGTGCTATGAAGACAGGAATATTGATTGTGGCTTTTGGCAGTGCAGAGCTTAGGGAGGCCAGGGCTGGGGGCGACGAAGGTCAAAGCTGCACGCAGATGTCCTGTGACTGCCGGCTGCTCTGCGGCTGAATTTCCAACCTGGATTTGTTTTATCACCCTAAGTACCTTTTTTTTTTTTTTCTTTCTTGCCTTTTTTGTTGTTGTTGTTGGAGACGGAGTCTGGCTCTGTCACCCAGGCTGGAGTGCAGCGGTGCGATCTCGGCTCACTGCAACCTCCACTTCCTGGGTTCCAGAGATTCTTCTGCCTCAGGCTCTGAGTAGCTGAGATTACAGGCGCCCGACTGACAAATTTGTATTTTTCTTAGAGACGGGGTTTCACCGTGTTGGCCAGGCTGGTCTCGAACTCCTGACCTCAGGCGATGCACCCGCCTCAGCCTCCCAAAGTGCTGGGATGACAGGCGTGAGCCACCGCGCCCGGCCCTAAGTACCTTTTTCTGAAATTACATCGAACAGGTCAAAAGTCTTTTGGCCTTAATTCTGGGCAACTTGGGGCCCCTGGATCAACCTCAAGTAGAACCTGAAAGAACAAAAACTTACGCAACAGGCATCGTGTTTCCCGTGGTGCCCGTGAGACGCTCTGTGAGGGCCGGACCCCTGATCCTGCAGCCCCTGGGGCCCCGGCCTCACCCACGTTCCAGTCCCTGCAGGGGGACCAGCTGGGACACCCACTCGTGTCCTTGCTCATGACTTGGAGCGTCCCCAGCCTGAACTTCCAAAGTGGGCCTGGCTTTGCACCCTGTGCTGCTGTTTCACGCCCGTACCAACGGGGTGGACACTCCTCTGTGAGACCCACGGCATGTCACCACTAAACCGGAATCTTGCTTTCTTGCAGAAGGACCTGCGGACGCCCGACGTGGTCATCGGGGCCGACACGATCGTGGTGAGTGCGGCCAGGGTCCCTCCTTTCTAACGTCCGACTTGGTTTTCACGTGCTGGGTGACTCTGCCTGTTCCGGACGTTCCGGGTTCCCTTGAAGACAGCAGTCCTTCGCCAGGGGCCAGCAGCGCCTCCTGGGTATGAGCACCCTGGCCTGTGGAGGAAAGGGGTGGACTCGCTTCCGGAAACTTCCATCACAAACCGCCACCAGATAAGGGGCCTAAAGGCACAGGAAGGGGCCGGGCGCCGTCGCTCGCCCCTGTCATCCCAGCACTTTGGGAGGCCGAGGCGGGCGGATCACCTGACGTCAGGACTTCGAGATCAGCCTGGCCAACATGGTAAAGCCCCATCTCTACCAAAACACAAAAATGATCACGCCTGTCATCCCAGCACTTTGGGAGGCCGAGACGGGCGGATCACGAGGTCAGGAGATGGAGACCATCCTGGCTAACACGGTGAGACCCCGTCTCTACTAAAAAAATACAAAAAAATATTAACTGGGCGTGGTGGCGGGTGCCTGTGGTCCCACCCGCTCGGGAGGCTGAGGCAGGAGAATCGCTTCAATCCGGGAGGCGGGGGGTGCAGTGAGCCGAGATGGCGCCACTGCTCTGCAGCCTGTGTGACAAGAGCAAGACTCCACCAAAAAAACAAACAAACAAAGGCACAGGAAGGTACACAGTTCTGGAGGCCAGAAGCCACAAATCAAGGTGTCTGTAGGATTCGTTCCTTCCAGACGTACTGAGGAGACGTTGGTCTTGGTCTGTCTCCAGCTCCTCGTGGCTGCCGGCAGCTCCTTGTATCCTTTGGCTCATGGGTCCCGTGGTTCCTATCGGTGCCTCCATCTCCATGTGGCCTTCTCCCCTCTGGGTGTCAGTGTCCAGATTTTCCTCTTCTTTTTCTGGTTTTGAGACGGAGTCTCACTGTGTCGCCCAGGCTGGAGTGCAGTGGTGCGATCTCAGCTCACTGCAACCTCCGCCTCCCAGGTTCAAGCGATTCTCCTGCCTCAGCCTCCCGAGTAGCTGGGATTACAGGCACCTGCCACCATGCCTGGCTAATTTTGTATATTTAGTAGAGACGGGGTTTCACCACGTCGGCCAGGCTGGTCTCGAACTCCTGAGCTCAGGTGATCCACCCGCCTCGGCCTCCCAGAGTGCTGGGATTATAGGCATGAGCCACCGTGCCCGGCCGACATTTTCCTCTTCTTATGACAACACCTCTCATAAAGTGCCCGCCCTAATCCTGTCCAACCGCATCTTAATTACATCGGCAAAGACCCATTCTTCTTTTTTTTTTTTTGAGACAGAATCTCACTCTGTCCCCCAGGCTGGAGTGCAGTGGTGCGATCTCGGCTCACTGCAACCTCCGCCTCCCGGGTTCAAGCGGTTCTCCTGCCTCAGCCTCCCGAGTAGCTGGGACTACAGGCACCCGCCACCACGCCCAGCTCATTTTTGTATTTTTAGTAGAGACGGGTTTCATCATGACCAGGCTGGTCTCAAACTCCTGACCTCAAGTGATCCGCCTGCCTGGGACTCCCAAAGTGCTGGGATGACAGGCGTGAGCCACCGCGCCCGGCTGAAACTTTCCCCTTTTTATAACACCAGCACCCATAAAGTGTCCACCCTAATCCTTTCCAACCGCATCTTAATTACATCGGCAAAGACCCATTTTTTTTTTTGAGATACAGTCTCACTCTGTTGCCCAGGCTGGAGTGCAGTGGTGGGATCTCGGCTCACTGCAACCTCCGTCTCCCGGGTTCAAGCAAATCTCCTGCCTCAGCCTCCCGAGTAGCTGAGACCACAGGCACCTGCCACCACACCCGGCTAATTTTTGTATTTTTAGTAGAGACGGGGTTTCACCGTGTTAGCCAGGATGGTCTCAAACTCCTGACTTTGTGATCCACCTGCCTCGGCCTCCCAAAGTGCTGCGATTACAGCCGTGAGCCACCGCGCCCGGCCTATGTCTTTTGTTTATAAGCCGCCCAGTCTCTGGTATTCTGTGATAGCAGCCTGAAATGGACTAAGACATCTCATAAGAAGAGGGGATGAGGGCACAGACACACACAGAGGGACGACCCTGTGAGGACACAGGGAGAAGACGGCGTCTCCAAGCCCAGGAGAGAGGCCTCAGGAGGAACCAGCCCTGCCCACACCTGGATCTCGCCCTTCCAGCCTCCACGACCGTGGGAGGATCAATTTCTGTAGTTTAAGCCACCCGGGTTAAAGGACTTTGCTATAGTGACCTGAGCAGACTAACACATCTGCTCTTAAGTATGTACCCAAAAGGATTCAAAACAGGTCTTCAACCAAAAACTTCTACATAAATGTTCACAGCAGCACCATTCACAACAGCTAAAAGCCAGGAACAGCCCACATGCCTTTCAGTGGATAAATGGATAATTACAACACGGTCCATCCACACACAGTGGAATACTATGCAGCCATGAACAGGAACGAGGCTGGCCGGGCGCGGTGTCTGACGCCTGTAATCCCAGCACTTTGGGAGGCCGAGGCGGGTGGATCACGAGGTCAGGAGATCAAGACCATCCTGGCTAACCCGGTGAAACCCCGTCTCTACCAAAAAATACTAAAAATTAGCCGGGCGTGGTGGCGGCGCCTGTAGTCCCAGCTACTCGGGAGGCTGAGGCAAGAGAATGGCGTGAACCCGGGAGGCGGAGCTTGCAGTGAGCTGAGATCCGGCCACTGCACTCCAGCCTGGGCGACAGAGTGAGACTCCGTCTCTAAAAAAAAAAAAAAATTAGCTGGGCGTAGTGGCGGGCACCTGTAATCCCAGCTACTTGGGAGGCTGAGGCAGGAGAATCACTTGAACCTGGGAGGTGGAGGTTGCAGTGAGCTGAGACTGCACCACTATACTCCAGCCTGGGCAAAAGAGTGAGACTCCATCTCAAAGGAAAGGAAAGGAAAGGAAAGGGGAAGGGAAGGGAAAGGAAGGGGAAGGGAAGGGAAAGGAAGAGGAAGGAGAAGGGAAGGGGAAGGGAAGGGGAAGGGAAAGGGGAGGGGAGGGGAAGGGGAAGGGAAGGAAGGGAAGGGGAAGGGGAAGGGGGGAGGGGAGGGGAAGGGAAGGGGAAGGGAAGGGAGGGGAGGGGAAGGGAAGGGGAAGGGGAGGGAAGGGGAAGGGGAGGGAAGGGGGGAAGGGAAGGGAAGGGGAAGGGGGAAGGGGAAGGGGAGGGGAAGGGGAAGGGGAGAAGGGAAGGGAAGGGAAGGGGAAGGGGAAGGGGAAGGGAAGGGGGAAGGGGAGGGAAGGGGAGGGGAAGGGAAGGGGGGGGAAGGGAAGGGGAAGGGGAAGGGGAAGGGAAGGGGGGGGAAGGGGAAGGGGAAAGGGAAGGGAAGGGGAAGGGAAGGGGAAGGGAAGGGAAGGGGAAGGGGAGGGGAAAGGGAAGGGGAGGGAAGGGGAAGGGGAAGGGGAAGGGGAAGGGAAGGGGAAGGGAAGGGGAAGGGAAGGGGGGGAAGGGGAAGGGAAAGGGAGGGAAGGGAAGGGGAAGAGGGGAGGGAAGGGGAAGGGAAGGGGAGGGGAAGGGGAAGGGGAAGGGGAAGGGAGGGAAGGGGAAGGGAAGGAGGGAAGGGAAGGGAAGGGGAAGGGAGGGAAGGGGAAGAGGGAAGGGGAAGGGGAAGGGGAAGGGAAGGGAAGGGAGGGAAGGGGAGGAAGGGAGGGAGGGGAAGGGGGAAGAGGAAGGGGAAGGGGAGGGGAAAGGGGAAGGAAGGGGGAGGGGAGGGGAAGGGAAGGGAAGGGAGGGGAAGGGGGGGAAGGGAGGGGGAGGGAAGGGGGGAGGGAAGGGGAAGGGAAGGGGAAGGAGGAAGGGAGGGGAGGGGGAGGGAAGGAGGGAGGGAAGGGGGGGAAGGGAAGGGAAGGAAGGGGAAGGGGAAGGGAAGGGGAAGGGGAAGGGGAAGGGAAGGGGGGGGAAAGGGGGGGAAGGGAAGGGAAGGGAAGGGAAGGGGAGGGGAGGGGAAGGGGGAAGGGGAGGGGAAGGGGAGGGAAGGGAAGGAAGGGGAAGGGAAGGGGGGGGAAGGGGAAGGGAAGGGAAGGGGAAGGGGAAGGGAGGAAGAGGAAGGGGGGGAAGGGGAAGGGAAGGGGGAAGAGGGAAGGGGAGGAAGGGAAGGGAGGGAAGGGAGGGGAAGGGGAAGGGGGGAAGGGGAGGGGAAGGGAGGGAAGGGAAGGGAAAGGGGAGGGGAGGGGGAAGGGGAAGGGAAGGGGAGGGAAGGGGAAGAGGAAGGGAAGGGGAAGGGAAGGGGAAGGGAAGGGAAGGGGAAGGGAAGGGGAAGAGGAAGGGGAGGGAAGGGGAAGGGAAGGGGAAGAGGAAGGGGAGGGAAGGGGAAGCGGAGGGAAGGGGAGGGGAAGGGGAAGGGAAGGGAAGGAAAGGAAAGGAACAAGGAACATGAATGGACCTTGAGGACATCACGCTCAGTGACGGAAAGCAGGCACAGAGGACCGCAGGTTGCAGGGTTCCATGACTACGCCGTGTCCACAACGGGCAAACGCACAGTGAAAGAAAGAGGATCTGGGGAGGGGCACTGGGGCGGGACAGCTTCGTGGGGCCAGGGTCTCCTTCTGGGGTGAAGAGAACATTCTGGAACCAGGCAGGTCGCGGTAAGGCAACGTGGTCCGTTCAGGTAGTTGTTTGATACGGTGACTCTCGGGCTGTGTCCACTTCATTTCCGTAAAACGAGTGAGTTCTGCGAATGGCCCCGTGGGGCTTGCGTGGGCCTGACTCAGGCGGCGGGGACCCACTCCCCGCGTTCCCTTCCTCTCGCAGACGGTCGGGGGGCTGATTCTGGAGAAGCCGGTGGACAAGCAGGACGCCTACAGGATGCTGTCCCGGTGAGCACCGTGCCGGCCTCGGAGCTGTCTCAGGTTCTGGGCCAGAGTAGCCGGCATATCCGGCCGGGTGTCCTGGGGAGCAGGGTGGATGTGTCTCAGCTCTGCCGTCGGAGCTGTGCTGTCTGTGCTCCTCTGTGTGCGCTGTGTGTGTGAGCCGTGCTGTGTGAGGTGTGTGTGTGAGCTGTGTTGTGTGAGCCGTGCTGTGTGAGCTGTGTGTGTGAGCTGTGTGTGTGTGCTCCTCTGTGTGAGCTGTGTGTGTGAGCTGTGTTGTGTGAGCCGTGCTGTGTGAGCTGTGTGTGTGAGCTGTGCTGTCTGTGCTCCTCTGTGTGAGCTGTGTGTGTGAGCTGTGTGTGTGAGCTGTGTGTGTGAGCTGTGTGTGTGAGGTGTGTGTGTGAGCCGTGCTGTGTGAGCTGTGTGTGTGAGCCGTGCTGTGTGAGCTGTGTTGTCTGAGCTGTGTTGTGTGAGCTGTGTGTGTGAGCTGTGCTGTGTGAGCTGTGTGTGTGAGCTGTGTTGTGTGAGCTGGTCTGGTGGTTGTGAGCTGTGTGTGTGAGCTGTGTGTGTGAGCTGTGCTGTGTGAGCTGTGTGTGTGAGCTGTGCTGTGTGAGCTGTGTGTGTGAGCTGTCTGTGTGAGCTGTGTGTGTGAGCTGTGTGTGTGAGCTGTGCTGTGTGAGCTGTGTGTGTGAGCTGTGCTGTGTGAGCTGTGTGGTGTGAGCTGTCTGTGTGAGCTGTGTGTGTGAGCTGTGTGTGTGAGCTGTGCTGTGTGAGCTGTGCTGTGAGCTGTGTTGTGTGAGCTGTGTGTGTGAGCTGTGCTGTGTGAGCTGTGTGTGTGAGCTGTGTGTGTGAGCTGTGTTGTCTGAGCTGTGTGTGTGAGCTGTGCTGTGTGAGCTGTGTGTGTGAGCTGTGTGTGTGAGCTGTGCTGTGTGAGCTGTGTGTGTGAGCTGTGTGTGTGAGGTGTGCTGTGTGAGCTGTGTGTGTGAGCTGTGCTGTGTGAGCTGTGTGTGTGAGCTGTGTTGTGTGAGCTGTCTGTGTGAGCTGTGTGTGTGAGCTGTGTGTGTGAGGTGTGCTGTGTGAGGTGTGCTGTGTGAGCTGTGTGTGTGAGCTGTGTGTGTGAGGTGTGCTGTGTGAGCTGTGTGTGTGAGCTGTGTGTGTGAGCTGTGTGTGTGAGCTGTGCTGTGTGAGCTGTGTGTGTGAGCTGTGTTGTGTGAGCTGTGTGTGTGAGCTGTGCTGTGTGAGCTGTGCTGTGTGAGCTGTGTGTGTGAGCTGTCTGTGTGAGCTGTGTGTGTGAGCTGTGCTGTGTGAGCTGTGCTGTGTGAGCTGTGTGTGTGAGCTGTGTTGTGTGAGCTGTGTTGTGTGAGCTGTGTGTGTGAGCTGTGTTGTCTGAGCTGTGTTGTGTGAGCTGTGTGTGTGAGCTGTGTGTGTGAGCTGTGTTGTGTGAGCTGTCTGTGTGAGCTGTGTGTGTGAGCCGTGCTGTGTGAGCCGTGTTGTGTGAGCCGTGTTGTCTGAGCTGTGTTGTGTGAGCTGTGTGTGTGAGCTGTGTTGTGTGAGCTGTGTGTGTGAGCTGTGTTGTCTGAGCTGTGTGTGTGAGCTGTGTTGTGTGAGCTGTGTTGTGTGAGCTGTCTGTGTGAGCTGTGTGTGTGAGCTGTGTTGTGTGAGCTGTGTGTGTGAGCTGTGTGTGTGAGCTGTGTTGTGTGAGCTGTGTGTGTGAGCTGTGCTGTGTGAGGTGTGCTGTGTGAGCTGTGTGTGTGAGCTGTGTTGTGTGAGCTGTGTGTGTGAGCTGTGTGTGTGAGCTGTGCTGTGTGAGCTGTGTGTGTGAGCCGTGTGTGTGAGCTGTGTTGTCTGAGCTGTGTGTGTGAGCTGTGTTGTGTGAGCTGTGTTGTGTGAGCTGTCTGTGTGAGCTGTGTGTGTGAGCTGTGTTGTGTGAGCTGTGTGTGTGAGCTGTGTGTGTGAGCTGTGTTGTGTGAGCTGTGTTGTGTGAGCTGTCTGTGTGAGCTGTGTGTGTGAGCTGTGCTGTGTGAGGTGTGCTGTGTGAGCTGTGTGTGTGAGCTGTGCTGTGTGAGGTGTGCTGTGTGAGCTGTGCTGTGTGAGCTGTGCTGTGTGAGGTGTGCTGTGTGAGCTGTGTGTGTGAGCTGTGTTGTGTGAGCTGTGTGTGTGAGCTGTGTGTGTGAGCTGTGCTGTGTGAGCTGTGTGTGTGAGCTGTGTTGTGTGAGCTGTGTTGTGTGAGCTGTGTGTGTGAGCTGTGTTGTCTGAGCTGTGTGTGTGAGCTGTGTTGTGTGAGCTGTGTTGTGTGAGCTGTCTGTGTGAGCTGTGTGTGTGAGCTGTGTTGTGTGAGCTGTGTGTGTGAGCTGTGTTGTGTGAGCTGTGTGTGTGAGCTGTGCTGTGTGAGGTGTGCTGTGTGAGCTGTGCTGTGTGAGGTGTGCTGTGTGAGCTGTGCTGTGTGAGCTGTGCTGTGTGAGGTGTGCTGTGTGAGCTGTGTGTGTGAGCTGTGTTGTGTGAGCTGTGTTGTGTGAGCTGTGTGTGTGAGCCGTGCTGTGTGAGCCGTGTTGTGTGAGCCGTGTTGTCTGAGCTGTGTTGTGTGAGCTGTGTTGTGTGAGCTGTGTGTGTGAGCGGTGTGTGTGAGCTGTGTTGTGTGAGCTGTGTGTGTGAGCTGTGCTGTGTGAGCCGTGCTGTGTGAGCTGTGTGTGTGAGCTGTGTTGTGTGAGCCGTGCTGTGTGAGCTCTGCTTTCTGAGCTGTGTGTGAGCTGTGCTCTCTGAGCTGTGCAGGGAGGCAGGCACCATCCCTCCATGCTCACCCTTGTCTGGGATTCTGCAGCACCGATCCCAGAGTGTCTCACGCCCACTGCAGACTGTTGGGGCCATGAGAAGTTGGCAGTGCCCTGTCCTTCCCACTGGGCGTCCTGGACCTGAGCCCACAGCCTGGCATCTCACTCCCATCCCAGGACATGGGAGAGACGCGCCCCTCCCTGCCCGCCATAGGCCCAGCTTGAGGGCTGCCCGGCCTGGGGCCTCCCGTCAGGGCCACGGCTCGTGGGATTTGTGACGCCTTCCTTGGCCTCTCCGTAAAGGTTTCCCTGGAGACCACACGGCAGGACCATCGGGAAGCAGAGACTGGGGACGGAGCCAGGACCAAGGACACCTCGCTGGCTCCCTGGTTTGAGACTCGCTTTGTAGCTCTCACGGTTCACAGCACGGTCACCGGTTGTGTCTTGCAGGTTGAGTGGGAAAGAGCACAGCGTGTTCACAGGCGTCGCCATTGTCCACTGCTCCAGCAACGGTAACCGTGGCCCGGGGATCGGGGTCCCCCCCAGAGGCCGAGAGAAGAACCCGGGACATTCTCAGGACCCTGGGCTGGAGGGAGGGGGACGGTTACCCACCCCCACCCCCAGAGGGGTTTGTGCTTATGGCCTGCCTGGGAAAGTTGTCAGCCGATTTGGAAGTGTGCAGTAGAAAGGAAAACGTGTGCTTTGTCTCTCTTTCTTTTTTTTTTTGAGACAGAGTCTCGCTCTGTTGCCCACAGGCTGGACTGCAGTGGTACAATCTCAGCTCACTGCAACCTCTGCCTCCCAGGTTCAAGCGATTCTTCTGCCTCAGTAGCTGGGATTACAGGCGCCCATCACCACGGCCAGCTAATTTTTGTATTTTTAGTAGAGACGGGGTTTCACCATGTTGGCCAGGCTGGTCTCGAACTCCTGGCCTCAGGTGATCCACCTGCCTCAGCCTCCCAAAGGGCTGGGATTACAGGCCTGAGCCACCACGCCCAGCCCCTTTCTCTCTTTTCTTGTCTGAGACGCACCCCTTTCCCCCATGAACCATCCACATCTGAACTGTGCGCTACACTCAAGTCCACACCTCCACAGCCTTTCCACTGTCAGGGCACGGAGGTGACAAGCTGGCGTCCAGGCTCACCCCCAGGGCTCTGTCCTTGCAGACCGTCAGCTGCACACCAGGGTCTCGGAATTCTACGAGGAAACGACGGTGAAGTTCTCGGAGCTGTCTGAGGAGCTGCTCTGGGAATACATCCACAGCGGGGAGCCCATGTGAGTCTCGGGGGCGGGGGGAGGATGGGGGACACGTGTGGAAGCCTCTGGCCACCCTCACACGCGGGGTCCCACTCGGCCTTTGGGAAAGAAGGAGGCCCCTGTTCCTGAGGCCGTGTGGCAGAGGGAGAGCCGCCCGGCTGGGAAGCACAATTATCCCTGGGCACACCTGTACTTTTCTGAGCCACCCGCTGCTCGCTGGGGGCTCGTCCAGGCACCTGCTCAGGTTGGGTCATTTGCTCCAGGGGCTCACAGAACTCAGGACAGCACTTTTCCTTCCCAGTTCCTTCTTCACGACCACACTGAGCCATGGAGGCTCAGAGAACCAGACTCCCAGGACAGAGAGGGGCCGGGTGGGAGCCAAGGGCTGCGGTGGGGACGGGGGAGGCCCTGGGCAGGGGTAGAGAAGTTCATGCCGTGGGAGGAGGAGACCCCAGAGGTCTATGCCCAGCATGCTGGCTACAACTAACACTGAGAAACGGTGTGATCCAAAGTCACCCTAAGAGGTGATTCTAACGGTCGTCCCTGCCAAAGAATGGTGAGCGTGGGAGGTCTGCCGGCACCCGTCGGCTTCACTCATCATCCACCATCTGCGTTTATATGGGTTATACTCATCTACATCACACATCATGTCTACATAATGATACATTATATAACGTAACGTGATAGAATTATATTTACAATTACATATAATTTATGTATTACACATATTAATTATACATAATTATACGTTATGCAAATAGTTTATATATTATATATTTCTAATCTATTCTATTATACTGTAATATGTACATATATTTTATTATAGAGTATAAATCATAATATCGATTGATATTTAATGGTTAATTTTTAATGATTAATTTTAATTAATATTAAGTAATGATTGTCATAATTAATATTAATGTAATGTAGTTATACACCATTATAATTATAATAGATATTGTTACAATACATTATATTATAGATTATATAACACTTAAAATAGTTTATATAATAGGGACTGTTATATATAGTTATATATAATTTATTATATATTATAATAAAATATAATTATATATATTTATGTAATATAGAATTATATATGAATCTATGATATGATGGATAATATATATGTATTAAATATGAATAGATGTAACTATACATATTAATACATATTAATTACATAATACTATATATTATATGTTATGTGTGATTATATGCATATAAATTATATATTAAATATATGTAATTATACATATTAATTATATATAAGATACAATATTATAATATATAAATATTATATATAATATACATAATATGTAATTATATATAATATAACATGATTATATTAAAAATAATTATATTAAATATATTTTTATATTATAAAAGTATATAAAATATTTATATATTTATGTATATAAATACATTTGTATAAAATATGTTTATATATATATAAATAATTTTATCTATTTTTTTGAGACAGGGTCTCACTGTCACCTGGGCTGCAGTGCAGTGGCAAAGTCATAGCTCCCTGCAGCCTCAACCTCTCCAGTCAAAATGATCCTCTCACCTCAGCCCCCCTAGTGGCTGGGTCTACAGATGGATACCACCACGCCTGGCTAATTTTTTAAAATTTTTTGTAGCAATGGGGTCTCACTATGTTGCCCAGGCTGGTCTTGAACTCCTGGGCTCAAGCAATCCTCCCACCACAGCCTCGTGAGTAGCTAGGACCACAGGCACACGCACCAATGCACAGGCCCGATTTTGTTTTTGGTTTTTGTCGAGATGGAGTCTGCGTAACGTATACGTATCTTAACCTAGAGGATGCTACGTCAGCTGAAATAAGCCAGGCAGAGAAAGATACCACAGGATCTTACTTATATGGAATATAAAACAGTTGCACTTAGTCAAAGAATACAAGATATAAGTCAGGGCCAGGTGCGGTGGCTCACGTCTGTCATCCCAGCACTTTCGGAGGCCGAGGCGGGTGGATCGCCTGAGGTCAGGAGTTTGAGACCAGCCTGGCCAACATGGCGAAACCCCATCTCTACAAAAAATACAAAAATTACCCGGGCGTGGTGGCGCATGCCTGTAATCCCAGCTACTCTGGAGGCTGAGACAGGAGAATCGCTTGAACCCGGGAGGCGGAGGTTGCCGTGAGCCGAGATCACACCACTGCACTCCAGCCTGGGCGACAGAGCGAGACTCCGTCTTTAAAAAAAAAAAAAAAAAAAATCAAGTGAGACGGGAGGAAGAATTTCAAGGCTTTTTCCAGCCTGGTGACTGTGGCTTTCAGTAACACTGTCTTACTGGAAAATTGCCAGCACACTAGATCTCAAGTCTTCTCCCCACACACACAAAATAAGTACATGAGGTGCTGGATAGGATAATTGGCTTGATTTAATGATGTTACATGTATACGTATGTCAAAATATCCCATTTAACACATGAAATTTTTTTTTTTTTTTTTTTTTTTGAGACAGAGTCTTGCTGTGTCAGCCAGGCTGGAGTGCAATGGCGCGATCTTGGCTCACTGCAACCCCTGCCTTCCAGTTTCAAACGATTCTCCTGCCTCAGCCTCCCGAGTAGCTGGGACTACAGGCACCTGCCACCACGCCTGGCTAATTTTTTTTTTTTTTTTTTTTTTGAGACGGAGTCTGGCTCTGCCGCCCGGGCTGGAGTGCAGTGGCCGGATCTCAGCTCACTGCAAGCTCCGCCTCCCGGGTTCACGCCATTCTCCTGCCTCAGCCTTCCGAGTAGCTGGGACTACAGGCGCCCGCCACCTCGCCCGGCTAGTTTTTTGTCTTTTTAGTAGAGACGGGGTTTCACCGTGTTCGCCAGGATGGTCTCGATCTCCTGACCTCGTGATCCGCCCGTCTCGGCCTCCCAAAGTGCTGGGATTACAGGCTTGAGCTACCGCGCCCGGCCTGTTTTGTTTTTTAAATTTTTTTTTTTTTTGAGACGGAGTCTGGCTCTGTTGCCCAGGCTGGAGTGCAGTAGCGCGATCCGGGCTCACTGCAAGCTCCACCTCCTGGGTTCACGCCATTCTCCTGCCTCAGCCTCCCGAGTAGCTGGGACTACAGGCGCCCGCCACCTCGCCCGGCTAGTTTTTTGTATTTTTTAGTAGAGACGGGGTTTCACTGTGTTAGTAATTTTTGTATTTTCAGTAGACGGGGTTTCACCATGTTGGCCAGGCTGGTCTCGAACTCCTGACCTCAGGCGATCCACCCGCCTCGGCCTCCCAAAGTGCCGGGATGACAGGCGTGAGCCACTGCGCCCGGCCTTGCCCTGAAATTTTTAGACCCGGAAACTTTTCTCCCCGTCGTCACTTCTTAACCTTCCCCTGCCCACCCAGGGACAAAGCTGGCGGCTACGGGATCCAGGCCCTGGGCGGGATGCTGGTTGAGTCTGTGCACGGGGACTTTTTGAACGTCGTGGGCTTCCCGCTGAACCACTTCTGCAAGCAGCTGGTGGAGCTCTACTACCCACCCCGCCCGGAGGACCTGCGGCAGCCCGTCCAGCACGACTGCATCCCGGCCGTGGACACCTTCGAAGACCTCAGTGATGTGGAGGGGGGCGGCTTGGAGCCTGCTCAGAGGGAGACGGGCAGCCGCGACGAGAAGGCCGAGGTGGGAGCGGCCGGACAGGCCACGGCCGAGGCCGAGTGCCACAGGACTCGGGCGACCCTGCCCCCGTTCCCCACACGCCTCCTGGAACTGCTGGACGGCTTTAAACTATCAAAGGTACCTGTGTCTGTCTCCTCAGGTTGCTTTCACCGATAACCCCACACACTCGGCTTGAATCAACAGTCCTGGAGGCTGGCAGTCTGAGGTCAAGTTCTCTCAGGGCCACGCTTTGTCCGAACGTTCTAGGGGAGGCTCCTTCCTGCCTCTCCCAGCTCCTGGGGGCTCCAGGCGTCCCTGGGCTTGTGGCTGCATCACTCCAGTCTCTGCCTCCGTCTCCACGTGGCCTCCTCCTCTGTGTCTGTGTCTCCTCTTCTGTCCCTTACAAGGACACCTGTCACCGGATTTTGAGGCCTCCCTAATCCACTGACTCCAACTCATCTGAAGTCCCCTAGCTTACTTACGTCTGCAAAGACTCTTTTTTTTTTTGAGATGGAGTCTGGCTCAGCCTCCTGAAGGGTTTCGCCATGTTGGCCAGGCTGATCTCGAACTCCTGACGTCAGCCGATCCACCCACCTCGGCCTCCTAAAGTGCTGGGATTACAGACGTGAGCCACCACGCCCAGCCTCAGGCCCCGTCTTTCAGCCGTTCTGCAGGTCTGGGCTCCCAGGGTCCCCTCAGGGCGCACAGCAGACCGAGAAGGGATGCAGCCCTCCCAACACCAGGGGTCCCTTACAGGGCATCCTCTGGGAAGCAGAGGTGGGGATGTCAGGTGCAGGAGGGGTGCAGGTTTTGGGGAGACAGGGAGACCAGGCTGACACCTCCTGTCATTCATCATCACCAGGAGAGAGAACATGAGGTGAATAAGGAATAAAGGTAGTTACGGCACATTCCATCTCTGTCTCTAATTTACTGAGTGATGATTATTAAATCACCACCGGATGGATTATAAACAACAGACATGATTCTCCCACCGTCCTGGAGGCTGGAAGTCTGAGATCCAGGTGTGGGCAGGGCTGGTCCCTCCTGAGGCCTCTCTCCTGGGCTTGGAGACGCCGTCTTCTCCCTGTGTCCTCACAGGATCATCCCTCTGTGTGTGTCTGTGTCCTCATCTCTTCTTATAGGGACCCCAGTCCTATTGGATGAGGCTCCACCCAAATGACCTCATTTTACCTGAATCACTTCTTTCAAACCCTGCCTATGCATATACCGTCACATCCTGACCTGAGGGACTGGGGGTATTAGGGGTGCAACATACGGGTTTGGAACTCAGCCCATATCTGCAGCACGTTGATTTTTCTCCCACAGGCTGGTTTTTCTGCATGATGTTCATTGCTGTGCTTTTACCTTGTGTACGCCTTGTTTTACAGCTGGAGACTTGATCCTCCAGATCCCCAGCGTTCTCTGTAAAAGGCGGCTCGGTGGCCCCGTCGAATACTTTCGACAACATTGGTCTGCATCTTTTGGGTCTGCGGGAGTCAAAAGTACTCGGCAAGTGACTTCATGGGTCTCTCTGCACTTGTTTTTTAACAGGCCCTGCTCACTGCTTGCAAGCTGAAGGTGTTCGATTGGTTAAAACGTGAAGCACCCCAGAAGGCGCCAGATATTGCCAGCAAAGTGGACGCCTCTGCGTGTGGAACGGAGAAGCTTCTGGACGTCTGTGCTGCCATGGGGCTCCTGGAGAAGACACAGCAAGGTGACAGGACCCAGCGGGTTTTGCTCTGACGATCTTTACAGGTAGAAGTCACTGAAGGAAGGTGAGCTGGAGCCCAGGCAGAGCGAGGAAGGAGGGCCAGACCTTCTATCCCTCTGCCCTCGGGAACGCTGCTTTTCCCAGAACGGGGAGAAGCAGAGGGTGAATGAGAGAGGGGAACAGTGGTGGCCGCGAGCACGCCGGAGAAGCGTGACGTCCTTATGGGCTCTAGTCTCAAAGGGGCTGTATCAGTCCATGTTCTCCTGAGAAACAGAACCCAGTAGGGTGCACACAGACATTAATTTACTTGCTGATTGACGTTTATGGACAGATAAGGTGGGTGGATGGGTAGACAGATACATAGATAGATGATAAATGCATAGATACCTTGATATAGATTGACGATACAGAGATGATAGATACATAGGTGAAGGGAAGAATTGATAGATACATAAATGGATAGATGGATGGTAGGTGGATAGATGGATGGGAGGAAGGATGAATGGATGGATGGACAGATGGATCGATCAATGGACAGATGGATGGATGGGAAGGTGGATGGATTGGTGGATCAGTGGATGGTGGATGGATAGATGGATGGACGGATAGACGGATGGATAAATGAAAGGGTG